CTATCTATCTATCTATCTATCTATCTATCTATCTATCTATCTATCTATCTATCTATCTATCTATCTATCTATCTATCTATCTATCTATCTATCTACCGATACATATACAGTTTTATAAATGCAAGATACTTGTACAGCTGTTGATATGTATTAGTGGCTACATGGTTTGTGAAAAGGACAGTGTGGGCTGATACACAGAACCTTCCTCCCCCATCTTTCTATCTCAGCTAACACTTGTTTACCATAGTGCTCAAATTCAGACTTTGAACCATGTCAGACTTTAACTTAAATGCCATGTAATGGATTGATATAACTGTCAGGCTGTATCTTCAGTAATGTTTTTTTGTAATATTAACCAAAATACTGTATATGTTTAATAAATACATTTCATTTATTGTGATGTAACTGAATAAATGTTTGAACCTAAAGTATATAAAACAAAAAGATAAGATCCCCTGTATTTCACAGTTTTCTACTCTCTGTTTCTTCTGTAGGAGTTGAACTATGCAGATGTTAAGTTTTTCCCAAAGAGAAATGATGGAAGAGTTCAGATGGGGTTACAGAATGAATCCTCAAATCATGCTCAGGTTCAAGCAAACAACAGGGCTCCTACAGCATCCTCCCTTCCTACAGATGATGCTCATGTGCACCGAGTGAGGGGGCCAGCTCCTCAGCCTGATCCTAATGCTTCAGAAGCCTATGCTCAGGTTCGTGTACGCTGAGTGTACTGGATCTGATAGATTCATATCCAAGCAGGCCAGAAGCAGTCAAACGTGCACGTTGCTCTCACTCCATTTATTGTGGGCTAGCTTGGACTTGAACTCCTGAGTCAAAGCACTTTAAAAGTAGTCAATAATCAACCAGCTCTGAAATTTATTGCAATGGGAGCAATGTTTCCTTATTACTTTGAGTAAACGGCATATCATAGCTTTCCCGTCCTTATGTTCAGCATTTTCTTTGTACAGTGCAAAGTGCAGTTATCTCAACAGTGATATACTTTTTATTTGATTCAGATATTTATCTGTCACAGGTTTGTTGTAATATATTATCATGTGATTTCATACAAAATTATAATTTGTGCCTAAAAGTAGTAGTGAAGCAGTAGTATTTTAAATCAACACTCCTGGATGCTACTTGATGATCAGTTTGACAATTCATTAATGTGTCATTACCTTAGTTAGACTTAAGATTACTTACTTACTTAAGTAAAATTCACTTTCTCATCCCTGCAAATGAAAGGTAAGGAGTGACAATAACCAATTATATTTCTGTGTTAAAATAATTGAAAAAAGAGTTTGAATGACTCCAGACTTTTAAACATTTTCTGGTGCTATTGAGCAGGTTTAGGGAAACCATCCATTGCACACTAGACTACAGCCTGGATCACATTTCAGAATACTACTACATCTTTCTTTAGTTACTCTGATAAATAATAATAAGTGCTTCAACATACTCCCGTATCATTTATTACAAATGTTATGACTTTGGTACAAAATATAGGCACATTTTAAACACAATATTTTGTTTATCAAGGACTGTAGATGTTTTTCCTGGCACAAGTGAACCTGTGTGATGAGTATAGTTATTGATATGTGTGATAACAATGAGCTACTTTATCATTTAAATCCCTTCAAAGTGCCTAGATGACTTGTATCATCTTCAAACTTGTTGCCATGTTTCTCTTGTATATAAACAATAACAGACATAATAGATAACTCTGTCTAAATGCACAAAAACAGACAATCATCATCAGCTGTAATGCAAAATTTAAATCCATCATCTCTTTGATAAAAAACAAACAGCTTATTATACTACACTGGTCTTCCAAAAAAACAAACAAAAACAAAAAACAAAAAACTGAATGAATAAATAAAATTTAGAAGCAGGTCATTCAAATTGCAATGTATATGTCATACTATCGTTAATGGGTAGCCAGTCTGCTCTCATACAATTATTCCTTCACTATTTCCCACCTGATTTAAAAGTGTCAAGTGTACATTTCTTTTATAATGTACAAAAATAAAAGAAATAGTGTATTAGTGTATTGCATCTGTTTGGAAACGTGCCTTCCCTTGCTCTTTTTGCTTGCTGCTTAGCTGAAGTTTTTTTTTTTTTTACTACAGAAGAAATGTATTATTTTAAAAGCCGTTTTAAAATAATACATAATACAAGATGTTTCCTAGTTTTTAAAAAATGAAAATGTAATGTATAATGTGCTATGTGGAAATTGCAGGGATTTTTTTTCTGTTCCTGTTATTCCTGTTCCTCGCTAATTGCTTCCTCTGCCAATATATATCTCAATGATACTGTAGTGTCTAATGTGACAGTAAAGACATTAGTTACAGTAGAATTGCACTGACACATTTTAAAGTGTCTTTTTTAAAAAAGCAGAATATCCCACTTGAGAGTAAAATATAATGAGAGAGTTTTACTAGAGATTTAAAGTTCTTTCTTGTTTTTTAATGTTGAGTGAATTGAAAACAACAGTCAACGACTATATGATTTTTGAATTGAATTGTGAATGAAATGAAGAAATCATATAAAAAACATCTTTTACTTTGTGCTGTAGCTGCTGTGGAAATATATAATATTTTTTTTCTTAATAGTATGCTTTATATACTAAACTAATTAATTTGCAAGTAGGCACTGGATCCTAGTGTGTTGCTAAGGTTTGTGTTTGAAATCACTTAAGCAACAAATGCGTGATGGAGATGACATTTGTCCTTTTCTTCGTGCACACTGTGTAACAAGGATATTGGTGTATTTAAAGAGCAACGCTTCAGTTAACAAATAAGAGTATTTTGTCTAAACTCTGGCCTTAAACTCATTCATTGTTTAACTGTGGACCAACAACACTTGGTATTCACCTTTTCTATTCAGCTCACTTCAGTTAAAATGTATCAATTCTGTGTGTGCAATCTGTACTTTGCTCATTGTTCGTTCTCTGTGTGAAATAATAACTTTAGCTTAGAGCACATTAAACCATGAGAAAAAACCCACTCCTATCTTGGGTGTTTGTCTAGAGGTTATCTCAGTTAGTTATCATTAGTTACCCATTACTGAAGATCAAGCTACATTTGCATTTTCGCTGTAAGTGTTTTACATCCATTGAAAGCTGATGTCTTTTTTTTTCTGCCACATGCCGAAATTAAAGTGTAATACATGTGTGACCAGTTTGCACCTGTTCACTAAGCAGTGCAATGATGATAGCTGCAGGTTATTTTTTTTATGTATCTGTAATAATATATTTGCTTCTTCAAATGAATAAAATACTTTTTCAATTACTGAAGTTTACAGGGCATGTTCTGCTTTAGTGACCCTTTTGCTTCTTTCTTAAAATGCATGCATAAGTCACATGTGTCTCTTTGTTTGTTTTTGTTTTTCCAGAGATGAAATGACACAGTAGTTGATGGATGGTTGTTAAAATGTCACAAGAAAGGAACTGTAACTGAAAAAATAAAGAAGTTCAGAACAGGAACATAAATATCTTCTTGTTCGCAAGACCCAAAGAAGGCTGCAAATGAAGAGCAAGTTAAAAGTGTGACTATACTATTTAAAGTTTCTCTGATGTTTGTTTAAAGTTATAAAACAAAAGACGGAGAAAATATTAGAAGTGTAACTGAAGGAGGAAGTAGTTGTAGCCTAATTATACAAAATTAAATTTTAGTTCCAGGAATGAGACTTTGTTTTACCTGCAGCAATAAATTCAAAGGTCATTGTGCATAAAATACGTTGCCTTGCCAACTAATGTCATCACAGCAATAAAATCAAATAACAGTGCAGTAAAAGTACCTGTTAATGAACACATGATGTCGGTTACATATTAGACATGTACACATGTGCATTTATGTAAATTTGAAAGTAGAATTATACCACAAACTGACAGATTACTGAGTATTTTACGTTTAGCCCTTTGTGTTTTCTGAAAAGTGCTACCTATTTGAACACATATGAAATTTAACAACTTATCTTAGTGTCTGACAGCTGGGAAGACTTCCCTACTAGTAACAGAGAACTTGTAAAATAATAAAACATCCAAAATAATATTAATAATAATTAAAAAAAAAAAACAGAAATAAGTGCTACATTTAGTATTTTAATTAGATGAGTTTCCTAGTTTGTAGTTTATCTTTTTTGTAATTATAGACATAAAATTTACAGTTATGGAGGGAAATAATACCTCACACATACAGACACACACAGTGAGGTTGAGAGGAGAAAAAATTGAGCAAGATTTGCAAAAAGAGGATATAC